TTTGTCCATCGTTGTGTGCCTGACTTGCTTTATGTAAGTTAGCAAGAGATACTCGGTTAGTCCCAGTGACATCGTTCTTTCCCGGAATATTGCCTACGTGTGTATATTCCATTGCTGGATGGGGGTATGTTGTCATGTTCTCAGTCATATTCCTTAGGGACGTAGATATGCTCCCAGTAAACCGTCTCTGTCTCATTTCGTTTTTCACCAGGGCGCCCTTCGTATTGCTTAAACGAAAGGTAAACATCAGTTTTTTATTGGTGTATTGCTGTTGGGAAACTCGACAATGTATAAATGGCTGTTCCTGGTAATTTAATTAACGGGGCTTATCAAGTTCTGGAACCGAGATACCCAGGTTCTGGTCATTCAGCTCTGCTATCTTGAGAACGATCAGTTGGGCTTTTTGAAAACAACCATGGTACTGACAGCATCTGTCCGAGGTTTGAGTTACAACACGGGCTAAAAACCTGGTTGATTTCCAGGATATCCTATTTGTGTGGACACCGACATGGCCAGTGTAAATAGGTTGTCCGGGTCTCAGAAACGAACTGCGAATAGAACACAAGATGGGTGGCAACTGGTAGGATCGAAGTTGTCACCGTGATCATGCAACCAACGTTAGCGTCCGTTAATTGTCTTCTAAGCCGTGGACGGAAACTGTTTAAGTGATCAACTAAGAGCCTCCCATCCATTATGCGGTGGGTTTGTCTAGCTTGGGGGCCAGGAAATAAGAACTCGAATGATTTGCTTCTGCTGCTTTTGGGGTTGAGTAGAACTCTTTGTATAGGTCTGATGGGATTCGCACTGCTGATACTTTCCAATAAAGATGAAGTAGTTATGCAGTGCTTCTCCGCTCTCCAGCGCAGGTTGACTTGACTTACACGACAAAACCTGCATGAAAAATTTCTCACACTACCAAGCACACAAGTTTTTAATGAAGTGCCGCTGCAAGACAGGGTGGGCTCAAACCTTAATCTCGCGCTCCCGGATGAACCAACTGAAGTCGTAGGTAAATTTCCCTACTTGAGCAGCTGTGTCAGTCACGGTAGCCTAGCGAAAGACAATATTTCCACCCGTATTGGGAAGGCCAACGGCAGCTTTTGTGGGCCTGCATCGTCTGTGGCGCAGACGTGACTTCAGCGCATCCCACTAAGGTCGGTTTACACTTCTGAATTGCGCTCCATATTGTTATATGGATCAGAAACATGCTTCATGCGTGTAGAGGACGTGAAAGACTTTCAGTACCCACCACTGATGTCTTTGGGGCATTTCCAGGATCACCTGGGAATATCGAATCAGTGATGCTAAAGTACGTCGAATGGCTTTCGGAAGAAATAATTCACCTGCAACGAATAAACTGATCACACTCTATGGATTGCGCCAGCTTGGTCACATGCTCTGTATGTCAATCGACCGACTTTCTCGAAGAGCGGAAACGACCCAGAGGAGGCTAAGCAATGAGTTAGCAGTGAAGTAGAAAGGCCATTCCCAACAAACTCAGCTGCGCTGGTCATTAGTGTCTCCCAGGTTGGGGACCTATAGACGGGACAGTTACTGGTTGAAGAAATTATCAGATATCGCCAATTCGCGCGCTCAGTGACGCACATATATCCAAGTCGTCACTTTAAGTGCATGACTCCCCCTCCTAATCTCTCAAATGAAAGTCCACTGACGCCCATGTATTGACGTACCAATTATATCAGCTGCCGCCTCCAATGCATAACTGTCTCCACAATAATCTAACCAATTCGGTTTATCCTGGTTGTCCCTGCATTTTCAACCCCAGATGAGGTTTCAAGAGAGTTAAATTTGTCAGAGATGACGATGGCGATGACAGTGATGATGCTGATTGCATTCCTATTCACCATACAATATCCACTCGACAATCTTTGTTACAGCATACTTTCTCCTTTGGGTTGTTCTGTGGCGCACCTTTTCTCAATGCCTTTGGGTAATACAATGGTTGCACACAGCCTTCTCACGGTTCTGTTGATTATGGCTGCAAATGCTTATGATAATCGTCTTAACGAGATCAGATCTGTTGATGACTACTTAAATATATGCATGAACGGCACGCATCACAAGAAAGCACCAAGTCCAGAACCGACGGATGATCATATTGTAGGTTTTCCATTTTATTCATTTTTCTACGCCCAATAGTGCACTGATTGGGCATCGATGTCATGCTGCGAGCACAAAACAATGCGAAGTGTTCAGGAATCGCTTCTGTACAATTTCAATCACTCTCACTGCAAACCCATGAGCCCAAAATGCATGGACATGTTCAAAAGAGAGTTATGCTTCTACGAGTGTTCACCGCATGTCGGCCCTTGGCTTGTCAAAACCCGAAGCCGGAGGCGAATGGAAAGAAGTTATCATGTCCCTCTGTGTGAGGAAGATTGCAACATGTGGTATGAGGCTTGCAAGATTGAGGAGACTTGCGTCAGGGATTGGTCCGTTGAATTTGAATGGTCTAAAGGTAAGTGCTTCATTTGTTTGCTGTCTATTGCCCAGTTTATCAGAAAGTTGTTTCACTAAACTAATTGGTTTGAACCCCCTCACCTTTGTCCTACCCCAAGGTTTACTGATCAGTACTTCTGAACAAGTCACTGGGATTTGTGGTATAATCTGAGAAACCCATATCTTCCGTTTAGTCTTCCTCCATCACATTACTTTGCCGGCAGGTTTCTATGCCTTGCACTCCCTGCATTAAGGCTTAAAACTGTATGCAATATTTGGTCAAAGGCAGGTAACTCTGCTCGTTTGCTCCCAATAATGAGTCAAAAAGTTACAACTCAGCGCACTTTACAAAATGACGTCATTTTTACTGGATGAAGTCGCTAGTATTCGCACAGACGTTTCGTGGTCTCACTGTCTACCTCTGAGAGGCTGAGGTGCATACTAGACGGTAGCTCACGGTGAATAGACAATTTTTGATTTCACCAGTCAACTGACCCTGCGGTTTGCGTGCAACTAGAAATAAGGTGCGAAGCGCCAACATTCCGCGTGCTTTCGTCAGTTGCGGACACATTTATGAGACGGATGTGTGGCAGTGTAGGTTAGCTTTTTTCCTGGCACACACTAGGCTAGTTGTCTAGTGTTGACCACTACATCTTCTCGGGTTAGAATTGCCTGACAAAGCTAAGAACGATTTGTATGGACCATATGGATGACCAGTTCCAGTTAGGTATCGACCACTTGACAACTGCGGGCATTGGTAATCGGTTACAGTTTGTGACTGTCTGGCTTGTTCATAACAATTTTTCTGGAAGCTACTGCGCTACTATTTGCGAGGGACTTCAGATGTAATCGCAACCGTAATTGAACTGATAAATAACATACTAGGCAGATGGGTTGAACGAATTCGGACAACAAACCTTCAATATGTGTCATTGAGGCGGAAGTCATTAAAACATTCGGGCTGATGTGAAACGTCATCTGTGGTGCCGACTTAGTTTGATTCCATGGCGATTGTGATTTGCTGTGATCAGCTTTGGATGGAAAACACGTGGATGAATCCTCTTGGGTATGAATATGTTCCTATCAAATCCCACCACATCCGACCAATGAGTGATCCCCAAAAAGGATATTCCCATTTATTGCAGCCCGCCTCTTTCTTTCGCTTTTGCGCCCAGCAGGTATATTCTAGCGAGCTGTTTTAGTGATTAGGTCCCTCTGAGCTTGTACCGTACGGTTAAATGGATATTTACATTCACGACTACGTTCATATGGGGCTTTTGAGCTATTTTTATTGTCACGGAATTAAGTGCTAATCTTTTTCAACTTGATTTCCAGCTAGTAACAAAACACTTTCATGGCCTGAACACAGTGCATTTTACTTTTGCTTGATATTTACGATGGTTATTATTGGTTCGGTTGGAGAACAGTTGGCCTAGGCCTTCGAAGATCTTCCTCCAGTGTTGTAGTGAAAACCTGTTTGGTGAGGTTTGCTATGGTAAAACATTTGCCAACCGCTGACAGTATCCGTGAAGATGGCCACAGTAGAGGATTGGGTAGACAATCATCTATGTAATGTGACGTGCACTCTGTGTTCTTGATAGTTTCTCCTGTTTTGTTTCTCCAACAGTTTCATTGTTGGTGCGGGTAAATTTTCTATGAATACATTGGTAGTCAGATTAGGTGTGCTGCTGATTGACTTTTGTTTGCAAGAAAAAGGAGTGTTAATTTGTCTCGATTAATTTTAAGCAAACAATCTTATTGAAATGGTTATGCTGTACCTCAGTCCTTCGTTATTTTCTAATATAACAGGTGAAAGCTTGGTTACTAGACTTGGTCGAAGACCTCTTCCCGATCGGTTTTTTACTTGAACCCTGATAATTTTGAGGAGGAAATCCTGTAATATAGTGACTGCATTTCGTTCCAATTCGTCCACTTAGACATGGACTGCTAGCCAAGTTACGGTGGTGCTGACCACCACAGTTTTATTCAGTGACGTTACGTCTTCAACGAGTGAGCACCTACGCATCTGAGGCGATAACCGTCAACAAACGGGTGCAATCGCTGCTGTTTGGAGGATTCGGTCGCATCATGAAGGTGCCACTAAAAGACGTCGAGAATTGTTTGCAGAACGATGGCCTTTGAAAGAGGATGTCTGTGATTCATGCGATTTTCCGCGCAGTCGTGTCTGCTGTAGCGCCTATGTGGCCAGTGAAGAAAGTAAGATGTAGTTTGATAAACAAGTTTTGGTGCAATCGGATATTGGGTATGATCGTACGATGCCCGCGGAATAGACTAGTTTGGATCGCTTCATTCATTGATCTCTCTAGAGAGGCATTCATATAAGCTTTTTAGTTTCACACTCCTTTAATTGTTGGCCACTGATTCCTTCATGTTTTGAACGGATCTTAGATAAATTAGACTCAATAAGTCCACATCTTTCTTTGGGGAATCAGGTATGAATGTGTGTCCATCAACTAGCGCATGCGAGCTATTCTCGGACGTTTACAAAAATGCCAGTGATTTTTGCCACGCGATCTGGGATGGGGGATGGAAAGTGGAAAAGGCCCCTAGGTGCATGCATTTTGTCGCAGTTGATGAACGGTCCAAGGAACACAACCAACGCGTCGCTCGACAAGCAGCCGAAGAAATAATTCGACGATTATCTGGCACCTCTTCAGCTTATTCACAGTTCAGCGGATTAGTCTTTCTCCTATCATCCACAATTCCACTGGTCTTCGGAACCCGTTACTAAGTACAATTTTCCAATACGTGCTTACGGTCATACTCCCATATATGTAGCTTCCGAGTGTTAGTTTCTGTACAATTTCTGTTCCCTGATTCTAACTTTTTATTTCTGACTTGAAAACCTTGGATTCTAATGCTATTCTGCTACACCGCATTGTTTTGCTGAACCCGAAAACGGAACCCACAAAACACGAATTGTGCGAATCTTTGTTCATCTGAAGGAACTCAGCTGTTGTTAAATTCGAAGGGGACAGTTTCGCTGTACCGGCCAATTACTCCACCAATTATGGTGTTCTTTGAGCCTATAACTGCCATGCAGACGGTAACTGAGGTATTATCCACTTTGCATGGTGAACTTTTAATATGGGCCTGTTTAGACGAAGTTCCTGGCTTCACCTCCACATTACCAGTTCTTTAGACAGGCAGAACTAATGACAGGATAACTAGGTAACAAGGTGGCTAATGTCAATTTATATGGGCCGTGGGATAGGCGGATAAACTGGGCGTTGTTACTGAGCTAAGACTCCTTTCAATCTACTGCTTCCGACCCGATGCAAAACACCATCCTTTTCATTTCTTTAAAATTGCTACGAAATGTTAGATTGTCAAAGAAAATCCGGATGTGCGCTGGGGTATGGATTGTACTTTTGTTCACCTCATGAACAAATGCAATAGCCTCAGTCAAATTCCCCTAGGTTTAATGATGTGTCACAACCGATTTTGCACCAGAGCTATCTGATTGATCAGCATCAAGATGAGACTAGTTCGGGTTTATTTTTAGGAAACCAAACACTCTTGCTGTTGGCGTATTTTGACCTTTCTTCATTTGTGAGCAGAGGGAAAACTGCATTAAGTGATTTTTCTACATTTCTCACCCAAATGGCTCAACAAGGCAGTTTTTCTAGTGTATATTTCATTCAGGCTTCGGTAAGCTGTTGATAAATAAGATACTGGGTGGAATCTTGTGTATACCAGCCGAAAAGTGTTTGAAAAATTCACTCATTCTAGGTTGAGGCGATAAACGTCTATACACAGGCTGCAGCTAGGATGGTACCGTTATCCATGGTTAAAGCTTGCTGTTAAAGCCTCAACTCTGGAATTCATTGTGCAAGTGAAGCCAACCTGTGCTGGGATGCTGAGGTGCAATTCGTATCAATGCCATCCCCTTGGGGAATCCTCAACAATGTGCATCTAACGGAGCACTAGAGAGCTTCAAACCTGCAACATTCCGGACAAGAGTTAGAACACTCGTGAAACTGTGGGAGGCACGTCAGTGTAGTCAGGTGATCACGAATTTGAGGTACCGGAATCTTTTGGTTGACTGATTTCTCAAATGATAGAGTCGCATAAAAAGGCTCCCATGGCCTGTGAGGTGTCTCCGTTTCCAGACAGATTGCTCATTTTGTGGGTCTTGATCTTCCTTGAGCTATCTGGCACAAGATGACGTACGATGGACGCCGGGTCTTTGGTGAAAATTCACTTTGCTGAATTCAACTTCCAGGCTTGACTGCTCGTAAGAAGGGGGGGGTGTCCGATACTGAATCGCCGGTTCGTTAATGAATTCTACTTACGTAGCTGTGCAGGTTGTATCAGTGCTAGCAAAAACAGTTGCACGTGTCCGATATGAATCGCCGGTTCGTTAATGAATTCTACTTACGTAGCTGTGCAGGTTGTATCAGTGCTAGCAAAAACAGTTGCACGGTACCTTCAGGTGGTCTCAGTATATGTTAATCCTAAAACTAAATGTTTTATTTTTTCTTATCCTCGCGAAGTGAGTTACTGCATCCAGTGTCATAAAAGCGTCACCTAGTAGGACCGTTGCAGGTCACATACGAGGACTATTTCCCTCTAGTTATTTTGTGACCTCCTACGTCTCAGCTGGTTCGACAAATTCACTCAGCAGCGAGGCAAGGTTCCTTCTACTCAGCTGGCAATTTCTATCGAATGTGGAATGTATTTGCTCCACTGTGTTGCTGTCCATTCCTTTGTCTATGGTCACCAGATTGTTGTTGTTATGTACTGAATGTCGTTGGACTTGTGTGCCATTCGAATCGAACTCTTGTGCGGAAAACAGTTATTTGATTCTTCGGACAACTCGGCGCACCACAGACGTGTGAAAAGTCATGCATGCATTAGTGTTCGTTGGTTTACCAAGCAGGCGAAACAGAACCTGTTCCTTTAATGTGACGGCTACACCAGAGTAACAATTGAGGTCTCTGGAGTTTTTACTGGTGCCTTTTGTCGGAACTTAGTCAACTTCTTTGATCTGCCAAAGTGTTACTGAGATTGATACTACCCAGAGTTGCATAGCAGACTCCGTTCCTCTTTCGCTTCGATTGACGGTGTTTTCAGTCAAATATGCCTGCTAAACAAAGAACAGCAGCAATCTACCAAATACTTGGCATGAGGTCAGCTGATTTATTGTTTTTTCTGTATTGCTTTTTTTATGCACCGAATCCAATACGATTTTTCCCTTATCAAAAAGTGTTCTCTCTTGGAAGCGCAAACTTTTAGTCGTACATTTGCAAAGCCTTCCGAACATAGACATGAAAGAGGTGGATCATCATAGAAAAATTCGCCATGGCTAACTCGTGTTCGTTACCTCCGTCAATGACGACTAACAGTGAGTAACCTAGGTTGGGTGATATCATGCCCCTTCGAGCCTTCCTTGAATTTTCGTCGAACAAGGTAATAAAGCCACGGAAAATGCGTGGGAAATAAGCCTCTAAGTGTGCGCTATTGTTTGATGGCTTGTGACTTCGGTGATGAGCACTTTTCCCTCCCAAGTCCACCAATGGGTCTAGTTCTTCTGTACCATCCATGCGGCACGCACTGTCGAGTAACACAATGGTAGACTGAGAAGCTTCCTAAAACAGGAGATTTTTCTCTACAGTGTTTCCCTCATAACAAACTTCAATACACAGGATCTTTTTGGAGTGATTCAAATGAATTCTTAGCATCCTTCCGGTTAATGTCAGTGTTTCAGTGGTGCGGAATTCTGGCTTTACTGAATTGACCATTTGTTTGAGGTCCTATCTTCAAAGTTGAGTGAATTAATCACAGAATGTCTTCCCCGACGGCTCCACTAAACAATCTCTCCCAGTCGTAAGTCAAATAATGGCCTTGCACCTAGGTGAGATGTCAAAGAGCAACAGGAGAATCGTATGACTTCTCTGTATGATTGGTGATAAAATGGCGGGGATTCCCTCACGCATCGGTAATGAAACAGCGCTGGACTGGGGCTTCGAACCCCGATCGGACAATGCTTTGCTCAAATTGGCATCTTCTCCCCATGGAAAGGATCTACCAGTTGTTTCCTTGGGCTCCTTCCCGTGAATAGAGAAACTGTTGCAAGCACGGGATGATAAATTTCTGTGAAACTTCAGATGCGCACAGTTCACAGATGGTTTTTCAAATTTGTGCGAAGGCACAAGTATGAGCAGAGTCGCAGCCGTGGTTGCCTAAGGAATTGTTGACGACTGGCGGGATGCTGCGGAAAATCGATGTCCTGCATGCCGTCCCAGAGCCCACTTTCCGGACGAAACGCCCCTCTCATAGAAGAAAGACTCAAAATACACAAAATTACGTTGTTATTAACAGGAGACTCAACGGAACCACTGATTTACGAAACGATCGACACCATTCTGCTATTTCAAAGAGCAAGACAATTCCATGTGTGATGTCTGAATGAAGGCTTGAACTATCAAGGGCTAACTCAGACGGCATACAATGCGCCTGAAACGGAATGGAAAAGTTTCTTCACCATCAGATAACTGCGATGCACATTCTGTGATCCCCGTACGCCATAAACACCCTGTTTCTACAACCTAACACTATTTCTGCACTTTATTCACATGTCTGACAGTCTTCAAATCATTCGTCTCCCTCACTATGTTCAGTCGGTAGTATCATGCAGACTTGAAGAGATCGAAGCTCTTGGTGACACGAGAAAGACTACTTGGTTTGGGGTATGAACACGACATCGCCTGCTGTTTGATCACCATCTGTCCGTGCAGTCTACTCCAAACTAAATTTCGGATGTATTACCATATTTCGACATCCGTTCGGCACCTTTGAAGTGAGAGGTATTGCTTCAGGATTTTCAGTCTTCCTCCATTCATCCGAAACTCCAAAGATAGGAACTTAATTTTTCAAATGGGGTCCATTCGGCACCTTTGAAGTGTGAGGTATTGCTTCAGGATTTTCAGCCTTCCTCCATTCATCCGAAACTTCAAAGATAGGAACTTAATTTTTCAAATGGGTTGCATAAGGCGTACCTCGATGACATCGCCATCTAACAGGAGTTGGCGTCTTGTATTAGATTAGGATGGCTGGAAGATGTAGTGCGCATGCCAATCGAAGGACAGCTTGTATTCTGATCTGAACTATTGTCAGCGAAAAGTTCGCAGTGAACAGGTCATGATCTTTCAAGGCGAAACGGAGGCGACTACTTTCAAATTGTGGGATGCTTGTGCCTTCCTGATTTGAGTTCACACATTTCTGCGTTCACCTAAGTGTACACACCTACGGTACATGGAACGTAACCGGTCTCAGTGGTGAGCATGCTGTCGCTTCCTAGCCGGATTCCCCAATTATGGTATATCTATGATTGTGTAATGGACTCATTGTGGATGAGGCTCGCAAACAAAGTTGTGTCAATCCCGCTGATAACGCCTTAATTCTGTATAATGCTCAAATGTGTTTATCTCAATGGTTTCATGGTGTGGGCACCTCGTTCTTGGTCGTTTACCATAAGAAAATTAGGCCGTTCATGCCGTGTCCTTATCCTCCCCATTTCTTTCTACTCGCTGCTAGGGCATTGTCCCCTACAGTTGTATGATAGTCAAACGTCAGTGTTTACCACTGGTGCGTTTCTTCTGGCGATGTTGCTGTCTTCTGTTGTGGTGGGAGCGGTCTCCAAATAACAGGTTGCTGCACGGTGGCAACCAAAAAATTTGCGAATGAACTGGATCTAAAAACCAGAGGAGTATTCTGCAACAGTTCTGCAAGCGCGTACCTGGGTGAAAACTATCAGAGATTTCGCCGAAGAGGATGAGACCCCCATCCACTGACAAATGTGCAATACACTGAAGTACATTCACTTGGAAGCCTACATAATCCAAAAAATCGTTCAGCTGTAACACCCTTTCGGTGCCTAGCTGCCATGCCACCCGAAGGAAGCACGAGGGCTGGGGTACTGCCAGGTTGCCCAAGCCTAGACAGGGGAAGTCGAAAGGCAGAGGTCG